CCCCAAAACCCCAAAACCCCAAAACCCCAAAACCCCATTTAAGAACAAGAATGTTGAAATTATAATGGAAAAATACAATCCTTCTAAGGAAGAACTAGCCAGCATCATGAAGAAATCTCCAGACGATATGACTGACATAGAGAAAGAGATATGGAAAGTAGAAGTACTCAGAAGTGTAGCTGAGACAACGTAATATACTAGAAATTTCTTTTATCGTGATTCTTTAATATTATGAAATTTTGAATAAAATCGAATGACATTTTAGGGTAAAATGACGAGAAATATTAAGCAATGTTGAGAAAACAAAAGTAAAGCTCAGAGATACTGAGAAAGTGGGTGCTGAGTTCGAGAAAAGTATGAATAAATGGTTGATCTTATAGAATGGCAACATTTTCAGGATAAATTTGATAAAACTTTGGGCACTTCAGCTACAAAACTTGATTGAAGCGTTAAAAGTAGGTTATAGATTGAAGATATTCTGATGAATTTAGAATCGATTGAAGGAGTATTGAAATAAACCAAAGAAGATGTCTCCTGAAGATGCCAGTGGATTACTCAAAGAAAAATAACAATATCGTCATCCTTACAGGTGCTTCTCTCTCTGCTGCCAGCGGTATCCCCACTTTCAGAGGCAATGATGGACTCTGGACCAAGAAATACAAGTACTGTGAGACGCCTGAAGAACTAGCCACTCTGAAGTTCTTTAAAGCACATCCTGAAGTGGAGTGGCAGTGAACCCACGATTTCTACGAGTTGTGCAAGAATGCTGAGCCCAACGCTGGTCACAAAGCCATTGTACAGTTCCAAGAACACTGCAAGCTCAATGGAAAGCAGTGCCACTTGGTCACTCAGAACATTGACGACCTGCATGCCAGGCTGATCCGAGAGTCAGAGATCCTGAAGCCTACAGTGACAAGCGAAGGAGAACCTGGGTTCGGATTCACAGACTCTGTGTACGAAATCCATGGCAACCTGAGTTACTCAAGGTGTTCCCAAGAGTGCTCAAAAGCATTGAAGCCAGTACAGGTTCCTGACAAAGAGTAAGCGTTTTGTGTAAAGTTCAGGCTGAGTCTGGAAGACCAGATACCGAAATGTGAAGAATGCAAGAGCATAATGAGGCCTCATATGTTGTGATTTGATGAATGATACACTCAAGAACTACACCAAGTCCAGACTATCAAAAATATCATCAACAGCAAAGTGGATGCCTTGGTTATTGTAGGAACTGCTAATGCTACTACTATGGCAAACAAACTTGTTAACGAGTGCTTAAGTCGAAAAATTCTAACTATCAATGTAAATCTTGAGCCCTGTTGTGATTTCGGTCCTGTAATAGAAATTAAAGGAAAACCTGAAGAAATATTACCAAAGTTATTTGGTTCATTTAAGCCTGAGTCTTTGAAGTCTAAAGTTAAATGCAAGAAATTTGTAAAAAATGTTAATCCGAATGGCCTAAAAGAGAAGCAAAAAACTTATTCAACAGCGCTTAGAGTAATTGCATCAGTTATCAAGGCAGAACAAATTGGGAAAAGGGAAAAATGTAGCATTTAAAGTATAATGTGCGGTTAACAATATTTTTGATAAACAATTGTTCAATGTTCTAGTTTTGAATTGGGGTTTTGGGGTTTTGGGGTTTTGGGGTTTTGGGG